AAAAGAGATGGAATGTTAATGATGAATTCAGATTTTACTAAATTAAATTGTTTATCATATAATAATCAATTGTTAGAGACGATTCATACTGTGATTACGACTACTACTTCTACTCCTACTCCTACTCCTCCTCCTCCTCCTCCTCCTCCTACTACTACTACTACTACAAATAATCATAACAGTGATACTACTATTAGTAGTACTACTACTAATAATAATGTAAATAGTTTAATGAGTAGTATACATCCATTAAATAGAAATGATTCATTTGATATATCTCACAATCAAGAAAGACAAATTGATATAGAATTAATGGATAAAACACAATCTAATCATTCAGATTATCAACCAATATGGTTGAATTCAACTGATCAAATACATAATTATAAAACAGATTCAATAAATCCTTCATTATGGTATGGTATGACATATCCTCAACCAAGTACATTATCTACTGATTCTGGTATTGGTTCGCCACCACTACCACCACCACCACCATCATCAACATCATCATCATCATTGTCTATGCTGTGTAACAATGGTATCATCGGTAAATCACCTATTTCTATTGGATATGACAATGGATCAACTAATCATCTATTACCACAAATACTTCCTGATACATCATCTCAGTTATCTTCTATGGCTGTAGCAGCTGCAGCGGCTGTTGTAGCTTGGAATAATAATAACAATAATACCAATAATTCAAACTATATTTACAATCAAAATGTAACACCTAAATCGATAGTAACATCTAATGAATATGATATCATATTGAATTCTCATGAATCTACACCAATAAATTATGGATATTTAGGTAGAATTAACTCAGAATTTAATTTAATATCGAATACTTCTACATCTTCAATATGTGCACCACCACCACCTTCGTGTTGTTCTACTACTACTACTACTACTACTACTACTACCACTACTACTACTACATCTTCTTCTTCATCGTCTTCGTCTTCGTCTTCTTCTCCATTGGCTTCAACATCTTCATTATCATTATCACAATCTTCTGCTTCTTCATGTTCTACACAGAATAATACTATAATTAATTTTGATTTAAGTAGTTTAGTTGGTCAAACACCTAATGTAAACATCAATAATACTAATAATACTGATAATAATAACAATAATATAAGTAGTATAAATAGCACTTATTATGATTTTTCACGTTATTTTCATTAATTTATAAAATGTATTAAAGAACAACAAAAAAGAAGAATAAATGAACTGATAAATAATTTCTATGCAAATTCATTCGTTTCTCATGTTTATTGTACTTAGTCAGTTAGTTACTTACTTAATTCATTACTTCCATACTTCATTTACTTATCCACTTAGTAACTATTTTGTTGCACATCAATATCAAATGTTGTTCACTACACAATAAGCCACATTTTTGATGCAAATGGTAAATCACACTTTTATATTTGTACACTTACAGATTGATACCCATTTAGGCCTATGTATGTATGTGTGTGTATGTGCAAATGCAGTATATTAAAAATAAACAATTATTTTGTTGTAAACTAAAAAACTTGTACATAGAAACAATGAATTATAAATGTGATATAATAGCAATTATTAAATGACATAGTTTCTTCTATTTCGTTTAATGGATGCACTGAAAGATATAACTTCTTTAGTCATATATATTACTTACGCCTGTTACCCACCACCACCACCACCCAGTGGAGCATAGGCCGCTGACCACAATATTCTTAATCACTATGTCCTCGACCGTTCTCTCTAGTTCTATCCAATTGTTGTTCATTCTTCTCATGTGTGTCTTCATTTCTCGGTGTGATGTGTTCTTTAGTCTTCCTCTTCTCCTCCTTTGGCTTTGGGGATTCCATGTGAAAACTTGCCTTGTGAGGCGATTGGGTGGTTTCTTCAATACGTGTCCTATCCACTTCCAGTGCTTCTTCCTGATTTCTTCCTTCATTCGGACCTCGGTTTTTTCTCTCCCATAGTAGGTTGTTGGTGATAGTCATATATATTATATTCTACATTGAAGATGAGTTTTTTAGCTTTCGAATAAACGAGCACTGTTACTGAATGAATGAATAAATAAACAATGGTACGGCCAAGAGTGGAGAAAGTCCACTCTTCCTCTCGAAACGCTCTCACATGGCTGCATGAACAAAACCACTGTCACGGAAGTCCTACTCACTACCTCGCGCCACGAGTGTTGTTAACTAAATTGAGAGGACGAAAAGCGAATTTCCGGTGCTCTAACCGGGTTAGCGGATACGGAGGATCCACCTAGAGGAATCGCTAAACCCTAATTCCAAACCAATGGTCTACATGGGTTCCAGGATCCTAAAGGAACAAATGGTGTATGAACCTAGTGTTGGTCACCGGCTATCATGAAACTTCGTCTCCTGACGTTGCTCCACTGTTCTGTGGATAAGACTTTTAGGTTAAAGACTCGCGGTGTGGACCCCCATGAAAACCACCCGCCTAGGTTAGGGCTCCAGGGTAGTATTCCACCCACAAATCAAATGATTTGTGAGGCGCATATATATGGTGTCTCCTTGCTCCAATGTTTATGTGTTTAGATAAATAAATAAGATAGATATGTCTAAATCTGTATCAAAAATTAGACACCAGAGTAACGTATATTGAGTTACTGAATTACAATTAACAGCTATATTTCTAATAGATATTCCTCCTCTAAATTAGCTGTTTAGTCAATTGATTTAAAGTTACTTATATGTAGGGACTAAAATTAACCAAAGTGATTGCTATCTGTTTCTTCTTACTTTAAGATTCAAGAAAAAATGGGGAATTATAATTTTACGTGGCAACATACTTTGGGTTTTCAAGACTTTCCGTATTAAGATAATACCCTTAGATTAATTGATCTGGATCATCGAGTTGAAAATGTGGATTGTTAAGTTCCTAATCTACAGTTTAAGAATCCTTATAGACCCCCCCCTGTTTATTTTAGACTGACCAAAGCTTTTGAGGAATGATTTTAGTAAAACTGACGTCATAATAGCAACAGTGTGTTTTTAACTATCAAATCTCTGGCTCTGATTTCACTCGATCTAGTTAAGTTCAAACATCCGAATTCTATCACAAACCCTCGCATATATAGTGGAATTCAAGAGGTATTTCCTGGAATCCAGTGAAGTTCAACTGGGTTTGCTGTGAGATAGTAACTCACTGAAAACAATAGTGGACGGTGGACCAATTTCATGAATTGGTTAAAGTAAGACATAAACACCGTTGGATGCCATCCCAGTGGTCTAGAGGTTAAGTGTTCGTACGCAAAACTGATAAATCCCGGGTTCGAATCTCACGAACGGGATCGTGGATGCACACTTCTAAGGAGCTCCATACTAGAACGAGACGGTCATCCAGTTCTTCCAGATTTTCACTCATGAATTCAACTATTGAAATTACTACAATCTCCACAAAACCCCTTTCTGAAAATGTGAAAAAATGTTCCCATTGTAATATGAAAAGAAAACTCATTTTCCATTTTGTAACGACTTGAAATATCTTCATTTCTTTATTTACAATTAGTAATTCTGTCATTATTATTATTATTACTCTAATGATCTGAAAATTAGATCATCCCCATTTGTAAATCGTATAGTTACGTGTATGTGTGTGTGTGTTAGGTGTGTGCGTGACAGAGGGAGGTGTGTGTGTGTGAGGGTGTGTTACTAATCAATCAGTGCATCAAACTCTTTCTATACACCTCTGTACACCTCTCCTAATACAAACCTACGTTGTTCAATGTAGTTTCAGTGTGAATTTAGAATATAGAAAAGAATAGAGGAAAATAGAAGAGAAAAATAATTTATAACGCAAAAACAATCTGAAAATAAGAAACCCAGAATGATATAAATAAACACACAAACATCAATGACGTATATACAACATACACACACATACATACATACACAATAATAATAAGTCGAAGCTAGTCAACTAAAGGAATAATAATAAAAGAATGTTAAAAAGCATAGAGAAAGAAGAAGGAAAATATCTCTATATATCCACCCACTTGTTTTTATACCTACATACCTACATAGAGATACATACATACATACACAGATAAACGCCCTCATCCCCTCTTCAAAAAAAAAGAAAAAAGAAAAAAGACAACGACTAATAACTCTTCCGCCTCATTTGTCAATTTTCCGCAACACTGCGCACCAATCACAGATAAGGTCAGATGACTCCGATATATAAAAGAAAGAGAAAATTAAATCAGCATAGATTATTAAATTTACTCCATTACATGATGACTGGTCAGATGGTTGCCTGGTATTTTCAAGCTTAATCACTATTATTATAATATTGAGAGTAATAATAATAATATCTGACTATATAGGGTATAATCAATCATTTGCCAAGCCATACCACTTCTCCCTATAATAATAAAACATTTAAAAAACTTCAGAAAGTAACATGAATTCAATCATAGTTTCCACACATATATACAAATTATAGAATTGTTCAGAATATTCTATTCAATAACAAAGTTTGTATAGTTCTATCTTCTTAAAAAAATTCAACCTGTAGCTCTTCTAAAGTTACTGCTGATCTCAAACCCCGGGTAAAGAAGGAAAGTTGGGTATGAGGTCGGTAAACCCCAACCCAACAGAAAACAACCATACTATTAAAAAAAACAACTGTCAACCGGATTAAACAAACTAAACTATTTAAACTCTTCCTTTAGAATTGAAAGAAGAATTATGACATCACATGATGAAAGCTGAGATTCTTCGGAAATCACGAGGTGGTTCCGACAATCAGAGCAACAATTTTTATAGGTACAATGTGGTAGATCCTTTTTTCTTTCAATCAGACATAAATAAATGTTTGCAGATGTGCTTGTGTATCGTGAATGGGTTTATTTGTTAGTGATTACCTAAACATGAAACGAGACAAGTTAATTAGAATTTTATATCATTCAGTTGATAACTGATCATAGCATTTCTCATACTTAAACAAGTAAATATCTTATAAACATGAATAAATTTAAACGTCAGCTTAGACTGGTAGGTGTGTACTGATGAATAGTTTCATATTAAATAAGGAAACAACTGTTCAATGTTCCTTGGTCTTAAATAGTACCCCCAATTAAGAATAATCTGTGATGAATACAACATTTAAGTCAAAACAATCTTCATAAAAACCGATATAATGACACCTTAAATTTATCACAATAGCTGTCTATGCAAAATACTCAATATCCATTGGTCGGATACCATCAGCAATACAATTCTATGGGAGAGAACAAACCAGCTTCCAGCTAAAGAAGAAACTAGGAAAAGACGATGGAAATGGATAGGACATACATTATGGAAATCATCAAACTGCATCATGAAGCAACGCCTAACTTGGAATCCTGAAGGAAAGCGGAAAAAGGAAGACCAAAGAACACATTAGTTTGGGAAATAGAAGCAGATATGAAAAGGATGAATAACAACTGAAAAGACCTGGAAAAGGTTGCTTGGGACAGGGTTGGATGGAGAGTGCTGGTGAGCGGCCTATGCTCCTCCATGAGGAGTAACAGGCGTAAGTAAGTAAGTAAGTAAGTAAGTAAGTAAGTAAGTAAGTAAGTAAGTAAGTAAGTAAGTAAGTAAGTAAGTAAGTAAGTAAGTAAGTAAGTAAGTAAGTAAGTAAGTAAGTAAGTAAGTAAGTAAGTAAGTAAGTAAGTAAGTAAGTAAGTAAGTAAGTAAGTAAGTAAGTAAGTAAGTAAGTAAGTAAGTAAGTAAGTAAGTAAGTAAGTAAGTAAGTAAGTAAGTAAGTAAGTAAGTAAGTAAGTAAGTAAGTAAGTAAGTAAGTAAGTAAGTAAGTAAGTAAGTAAGTAAGTAAGTAAGTAAGTAAGTAAGTAAGTAAGTAAGTAAGTAAGTAAGTAAGTAAGTAAGTAAGTAAGTAAGTAAGTAAGTAAGTAAGTAAGTAAGTAAGTAAGTAAGTAAGTAAGTAAGTAAGTAAGTAAGTAAGTAAGTAAGTAAGTAAGTAAGTAAGTAAGTAAGTAAGTAAGTAAGTAAGTAAGTAAGTAAGTAAGTAAGTAAGTAAGTAAGTAAGTAAGTAAGTAAGTAAGTAAGTAAGTAAGTAAGTAAGTAAGTAAGTAAGTAAGTAAGTAAGTAAGTAAGTAAGTAAGTAAGTAAGTAAGTAAGTAAGTAAGTAAGTAAGTAAGTAAGTAAGTAAGTAAGTAAGTAAGTAAGTAAGTAAGTAAGTAAGTAAGTAAGTAAGTAAGTAAGTAAGTAAGTAAGTAAGTAAGTAAGTAAGTAAGTAAGTAAGTAAGTAAGTAAGTAAGTAAGTAAGTAAGTAAGTAAGTAAGTAAGTAAGTAAGTAAGTAAGTAAGTAAGTAAGTAAGTAAGTAAGTAAGTAAGTAAGTAAGTAAGTAAGTAAGTAAGTAAGTAAGTAAGTAAGTAAGTAAGTAAGTAAGTAAGTAAGTAAGTAAGTAAGTAAGTAAGTAAGTAAGTAAGTAAGTAAGTAAGTAAGTAAGTAAGTAAGTAAGTAAGTAAGTAAGTAAGTAAGTAAGTAAGTAAGTAAGTAAGTAAGTAAGTAAGTAAGTAAGTAAGTAAGTAAGTAAGTAAGTAAGTAAGTAAGTAAGTAAGTAAGTAAGTAAGTAAGTAAGTAAGTAAGTAAGTAAGTAAGTAAGTAAGTAAGTAAGTAAGTAAGTAAGTAAGTAAGTAAGTAAGTAAGTAAGTAAGTAAGTAAGTAAGTAAGTAAGTAAGTAAGTAAGTAAGTAAGTAAGTAAGTAAGTAAGTAAGTAAGTAAGTAAGTAAGTAAGTAAGTAAGTAAGTAAGTAAGTAAGTAAGTAAGTAAGTAAGTAAGTAAGTAAGTAAGTAAGTAAGTAAGTAAGTAAGTAAGTAAGTAAGTAAGTAAGTAAGTAAGTAAGTAAGTAAGTAAGTAAGTAAGTAAGTAAGTAAGTAAGTAAGTAAGTAAGTAAGTAAGTAAGTAAGTAAGTAAGTAAGTAAGTAAGTAAGTAAGTAAGTAAGTAAGTAAGTAAGTAAGTAAGTAAGTAAGTAAGTAAGTAAGTAAGTAAGTAAGTAAGTAAGTAAGTAAGTAAGTAAGTAAGTAAGTAAGTAAGTAAGTAAGTAAGTAAGTAAGTAAGTAAGTAAGTAAGTAAGTAAGTAAGTAAGTAAGTAAGTAAGTAAGTAAGTAAGTAAGTAAGTAAGTAAGTAAGTAAGTAAGTAAGTAAGTAAGTAAGTAAGTAAGTAAGTAAGTAAGTAGATGTATCCCGATTTAGTGAAGAGGTAACTTGGTAGCTAAGGTATATGACTTTCAACCTCTCAACAACATATTGGAACATTATCTCACCTAGTTTGATTCAAGTAGCCCACGTTGTATTAATGGCTATCACAGATAAGAAGGAAGTGTAACTCAAAGGAAAATGCACAGATTTGTATTTGGACCAAACACTGTATTGGAATTAATCAGATGAAGTTAAAATTGAAATACGTAATCTAAATTCTGATTTTATCGTCTGATTGATTGATTATAGCGATTCGCTTAATTTTAAGATGATTTTTTTCGATTTATCGATGTCACATGAAAATCCATCGACAGTCTAAAGTTATCGGACATCTATTTTATCCCAGTTCCCCGGCGGTTGATAGTTATTACACACTCATACTATATTTCATGAATTGACTCAAATGAGAGAGTTCTGGTTTAGATTACTAGAAAGGTTATATATATATATATTCTACTGGGAAGTCTAAAACCAAAATAAGACAGTTGTCTAACATTCCAACTTTGGCATACACAGTTGAGTAATAATGTGGTGGACAAGAACACCAGTGGAGACAACCAAACGTAGATTTTAAAACAAGTGGAATACATGTGAAAAATGGTTAAAATCGATGTAAATCCTCCTTTTTAAACAAACGAATTTCGAATTAATTAATTTCTTAGAAAAATGAACAATGAATTAAGTTATAGATTGAGATCATGAACCGATTGATGTTAGACCACCATTGAAAACCTGGAATCACTGGATGGCCGCTTCGTCCTATTTTGGGACTCCTCACCAGTGCGCACCTACGATCCCGCTCGCGGGATTCGAACCTAGGGCCTTCAGTCTCGCGCGTGACGAAATGGCCGTCCAGTGCTTGCAGGTTATCAATGATAGTCTAACATCAATCGGTTCATGATCTCAGTCAAAAACCTAACAATCTTCACAACCCCTAAACTGATAATTAAAGTTATAACTAGATACGGTTCTCTTTCTCCAAATATAAAATGTTACTTCAAGATTGGCATATGTGGTTAACTGAATCAGGGATAGGGAGTGAAGTAGTTAAATACATAAACCACTTCACTTATCTTAAGAGTGTTATCAGTACTGTTGGTTTGGTGTCTGGTAAAATTCCGGCATAGATTCAGAAGGTTCAATTGGCTCTTATCGACTTGCATCACCTATAGCGTAGGTGAGATATTCGTCTTTTAACCAAAGGGCAGATTCTCACTAATTCAGTGATTAACTATGCAAATCATTACTTTTTAATAAAAGTTTAAAGAAATTTATCTGCAATCTAATAAACAATCCTCATAAGATTTTGGTAGTTCTAAACTTATTATGATTATACTTTGAACATTTTAAACAATCATTTAAGATGCTGGCTGAGTGATCTAGATGTCAAGTGTTCTCGAGTGGGACCTAAAATCTTAGGTTCGAATCCCCTGAGTAGGATTGTGGATACACACTGTCGAGGAGTTTCATACTAGGACGAAACGGCTGTCCAGTGCTTACAGGTTTTCCATGGTGGTCTAGCTTTAATCGACTCATCAACTCAACTATTAAATCATTTAAGAGTTAATGAATAAATTACTTTATCCAATAGTCAATATTGTTCCTTCTTGTATTATATACAGATAGGGTAATACTGAATCGATCGATCATTTGTATAATTTTCAATATTACAATTATATATCTGTATGTACGACTTGACAGGAAATGGATTAAATTGATTTAGTCATTAATTGTTTTTTTATTGTTGGTTGATTAGAGCAAATATAATCGATTTCTCTTTGGACTAAAATAATAAAACTATAATCACATGAAATTATTAAGTAGAGTATTTATCAGATCAATTTGTTTTAAGGATAATATATAATCATAAGGGGTTTTGTGGAGATTTTGGAAAGTTCGGTGGTTGAAATCATGAGTCACTTGAAGCTAGACCACTATGGAAAACCTGGAAGCACTCTGTGGTCGTTTCGTCCTAGTATGGGACTCCTCAGCAGTGCGCATCCTAGATCACGCCCTCCCGCGAGGTTCGAACCCAGGAACGATCAGTCTAGCGCGCGAGCGCCCAACCATTAGACCACAAAGCTGGTATCTAAAGGTGTTAATGTCTAACTTCATACTAGGACGAAACGGCCATCCAGTGCTTCCAGATTTTCCATGATGTTCTAGCTTCACTTGACTCATGATTTCAACTATCGATAATATATAAGTGAATAGTTAAAACAATGAACAATAAATCCTGTGTGCGGAATCATGGATGTGCGTTGCTGAGGTGTCTCATATTAGGACGAAACGGCCATTCAGTTCTTTTAGGTTTTCCATCGTGGTTTAGCTGTAGTTGACTCACGGATTCAATTATCTTAGAGTCGAAGAGTTTTTATTACAGAAAGTCTTTTATCAAAGTACAATCTATAAATAGTTCAATAGATGATCTCACATTGGATCTTTACAATCTTAGAGTGTATAGTTTCTGAAAGATTAATAGATACATGACTAAGGGAACAATAATCTAGGAATCAAATATATGAATAATTTCAAACGTTTCGTTGTTTGTGTAATGTAAAACTCTTCATTATTCAATGTATCACTATAAAGACAACTTGGTTTATAGTATACTTTCAGCATGTGTGAAATGGATCAATTCCTGCCCATATATACCGTTTGTAAGATGGCGGTTGGAAGTAGTTAACAAGAAACTCTGGACCTAGGTTTCGTGCTATTTGGCACTTATCAGTAAAGTGTACCAGTAATCTTGAGAGAACTGATGTTCCCTAACGGATCCGACCCCGTGTCACCCAGCTTCACAGTCAGAGACACTACCACTGGGCTATCCGGGCCGCGAGTGACCTCATGTGGGACTGAGATGTATTTACAATGGATTAATCGCTGGGTGGTGATCAGTGTTATGCATGTCAGGTCCTTCTTAGTGCAAGTCGAATCCTATCGACCAAGTTGCAATGTGGTGACACGGTATCGAATCCATCAGGGAGCACCAGTTCCCTCAAGGTTACGGGTACACCTTGCTGACGACTACCAAATAGCACAAAACCCTGCTCTAGAGTTTCCTGTTGACTAACTTCAACCATCATCTTATCTCAACATAGTATACACAATTTCAATTCACCTAGATTTGTGACCACATTGCAACTTGGTCGATATCATTCGATCTTCACTGAGAAGGACTTGACACACATGACATTGATCACCCACCCACATCTAGCTGATGAGTCACAAGTAGGTGTAAACGAACTTCCAGGATTCCATGACTAGTCACTATTCATCTCTATTTACGATGCTTTTTTATCCCCATAAAACAAACAAACAAACAAACATGAAACCAATTTTGTTTATTACTCATATTGAGTTTTCTTTTAAAGTGAATACGTGTACTCGTATATGTTTCATTTTAATATGATATAATCAATAAGGAAATAATATTCGAATAAACCATTATTAACTAATAAATACTGATTATTTTAAAGAACTGACAAAAACAACTGGTTCATATTCCCAGACTTATAATATGACAAGTTTAGAAAGATAGAAACTATAAAAGAACAAAACAACGAGAGGGAAGTCAACATTTTTAAAGGTAGGTAGGATAAAAGATTGATTTGGTTTAGTTGACAGTAACTAAGGTTGTTTTTTTTTTGAAAAAAAATAACAAGCGTTACATAAAACAAGAGAGAGAGAGAGGGGGGGCGAGATTGGAAAATCTAGTAGTCCTAGCAGACCGAAGAGATTATTGATCAACTTTGTGGTGGTGGGGGTTTTGTTTTTCTAAACTAATGTCAGCTGGTGTAAAAAATATTATAAGCTTCGTCTATTATCAAGATTATTTAGGGGAAAAAAAATAATTATTTTAGCTTTCAGAAAACATCTTTCATTTTAATGTTACACTACTGATAGAATTATCTCTAGGACGTCCTATTAGATCTGGTGCAAACCAGAGTGATGATGATTTGAAGATAATCACCTCATTCAATTCCCAGTAGTACTGAGCTCCGATCTGTTGCACAAAAAACAAATCGTATCCATACCTATGTGTGTAATATGAGGTGTATAGGTCGCTGACTTGTGTATTCGATAATATGCATGCAACGCATACATACGATGCTATTAAACAAATCTCATTCTAGTGTATAGATTATTCACTTATCACTTTTGAACTGTTACAAAGTTTATCGATAGAAATGTCCCTAGTGTAGCTGTACAGAAATAGACTGGTAGCATGTTCATTCGCTTCATAAAGTATAATAGCCTTAAAGTCCCTAATTATACACGAATTGAAACAAACTAAACCGCTAATACATCCAATCGATTTAATCTCTTCAATGCTCCAGTTTCGTATATCTGTGTTAAAGTTCTAATCTTCTCCTGAAAGGTCAATAAGCTTTCCAACTCCTTTTTTGGACAAAATCAACTAAAATCATTTATATTGGATTTGGATGATTTGTAGGATCATGATGATGATGATGATGATGATGATGATGATGATGATGATGATGATGATGATGATGATGATGATGATGATGATGATGATGATGATGATGATGATGATGATGATGATGATGATGATGATGATGATGATGATGATGATGATGATGATGATGATGATGATGATGATGATGATGATGATGATGATGATGATGATGATGATGATGATGATGATGATGATGATGATGATGATGATGATGATGATGATGATGATGATGATGATGATGATGATGATGATGATGATGATGATGATGATGATGATGATGATGATGATGATGATGATGATGATGATGATGATGATGATGATGATGATGATGATGATGATGATGATGATGATGATGATGATGATGATGATGATGATGATGATGATGATGATGATGATGATGATGATGATGATGATGATGATGATGATGATGATGATGATGATGATGATGATGATGATGATGATGATGATGATGATGATGATGATGATGATGATGATGATGATGATGATGATGATGATGATGATGATGATGATGATGATGATGATGATGATGATGATGATGATGATGATGATGATGATGATGATGATGATGATGATGATGATGATGATGATGATGATGATGATGATGATGATGATGATGATGATGATGATGATGATGATGATGATGATGATGATGATGATGATGATGATGATGATGATGATGATGATGATGATGATGATGATGATGATGATGATGATGATGATGATGATGATGATGATGATGATGATGATGATGATGATGATGATGATGATGATGATGATGATGATGATGATGATGATGATGATGATGATGATGATGATGATGATGATGATGATGATGATGATGATGATGATGATGATGATTAATATGAAAGGTTTCAAATACCAAGTTGATGTTTAATGAATTCAACCTATTTAATACTAGTAAATTAGAAATTAATGATTGATATATACCTTCCTAATTATCAATATTTCTCACTTAATAAATTACAGAGAAAATCGAAATCAGTTTGTTGTCCAGCTAATTTATATAAATCTATTAATTAATGATAAGTTTTAGGGGAAATGAATGATTTCACACTGATTTTCACATAGACACATTCAATACTTTCAAAGAATTCCTCTTTTTCATGGGAGTGGAGGTGGGGTCGGGATGGTGTGGGGGATTCACTTGATATCTTCCTTATCTATATAATTGAGTTTATTTATGATTAATGATAGTGGACTATTGTGGAAAGAAGATTAAGTGGTTTATTATTATTATTATTATTATTATTATTATTATTATTATTATTTAAAGGATAAAACATTCAGACAAATTCCTGTATGACTGTACATTCATCTAATACTGATAGGCATATTTTTTTAAAACCGGAACTATCTTGTCTAAGTGAGTACTTCAAGTGCATTTGTCTATAGTAATTTCTTTTCTTATAATACTGATTATTGTTTAGACATTCGTCAGTGTACACTTCTCTATGCTCAACGTATATATACATCTGTAATTATTATTACCCACATGAAAATTTCCTTTCATCTATTTGTATTACCATTACTACCATTATTATTATTATTATTATTATTATTATTATTATTATTATTATTATTATTATTATTATTATTAGTTAGTTAGTTAGTTAGTTAGTTAGTTAGTACAGAAAAAATCTCTATCCACCCACACATCAAGTAAGATGATGTATACACGCAGTGTGTTTGTACCCATTTGGATAAATCTTAAAATATGTGGGTGATATGTTGACGAGTAATGATGAAGTTTATTCAAATTTAACATGAGTTGGTTGGTTGGTTGGTTGTTTCTATCCTAAAATAATGAAGAAGATTTGTAATTTATGAAAAAGAATTTTGAAAGTGTTCTATGTTTCGAATCGAATGATCTAATCGTAAAACTGTCATTAGATCTATAGGTAAATACTTTATAGACCTTTTTGTTTTACAGTGTTAACTGTATAATTCAATCATTCAATTTGGAGAATGTAACCCATTTCAGACGCACGTCTCGTCCTATTTGCAACTCGTCAGCTGGATGTACCTGTATCTCAGAGTTGATGTTCCCCTCTCCCGGGACTCGAACTGACTACTACTCACGTTATCCACTTAGCTACTGAGTCGTGATAGCCACCTATTTGTGCAATGTGGTGAACTTTAAATTCACTTGCTATTATTTGCTTGAATCTTCTCATCGTTGTATAGGACTGTAATTGATCAGTTTCTTATTGGCATATGTACATCCTGTATGGATTGCCTCGATATAGCCTAAGGTCACAACCATTATAATCAAAGATGGATAATGTATAATAATGGAATCCAGGACACATATACCAACAAGAGACTGATCAACTACAGTCCTAAATAACAGTGGAAAGATACAAGTAAAACAACACAAGTAAATTTATATTTTTTACTCTATTCTAATGATCCTATTTCTACTCATGAATAATGGATTAGTGACTTTATATCACACCTAAAGAGATAATGAAGATGTTACTAATGAATAAAGTTAAGAAGTATTACTCACAATTTTGAAAGGTTACCAACTTGTTGTAATTAATTAATGAACGATCAATATTTAAATTTACGGTGGGAACTTTAATCGAATAATCTATAACTAAATACTCAATAGTCGTTCCGATTAACTGTAGTAATAGGGTTAACATTTTTTTTATCAGAATGGGTTTTATGGAGATTTTTAGAAACTTTACTTGTTGAAATCATGAGTCAATTGAAGCTAGACCACCATGAAAAACCTGGAAGCACTGGACGGCTGTTTCGCCCTAGTATGGGACTCCTCAGCAGTGCGCACCCACGACCCCGCACTCCGCGAGATTCGAACCCAGAACCTATCAGTCTCACGCCAGGCGCTTAACCAATTAGACCATTGAGCCGCCATCTAACGGTGTTAATGTCTAGCTTCAACCAATCCACGAAGTTGTGCCACCGTACACCATTGTTTTCAGTGAGTTGATTTCTCACAACAGACCTAGTTGAACTCTACTGGTAACGGCTTCTCACTAGAACTCCAGGAGTATCTCTTGAAGTCAATCACTAGTGAACAGGTGATTATTATTATCAGAATGGGTTTTGTGGAGATTTTTTTTACTGAGATCATGAACTGATTGATATCAGACAACCATGGAAAACTTGAAAGCACTGGAAGGTCGTTTCGTTCTATTGTGAGACTCCTCAGCAGTGCGCATCCACAATCCTGCTCGCGGCAATCACCTCCACAACCTTATACTGATAATTAACATTAATTATCATAAATGTGCCAATGACAAAAAGAAAACATACATTTGTGACTGAGTACACAGTTGACTAAAATACTCTTTACTTTTAACAGTATGATTTCTCTTAACGATAAAGGAAGGTTTAATAAGTCAACCAAGATCTACTTACATGTTAGTGGAAGACAAAACATACATTAATTTACATCATCGGTATCACTGTCACCATCACTAAGAAAAAAAACTTTTATTTTGTCTCTTGTCAAGTTGTTCCTAGTCAATAAGATTCGACAACTAGTACTAATCCGCAATGTTGTTGTACTATCCTTCAAACCTTGTTCATTATTGTTCTCTGTCGCTTTCATTCATGTCATTGATGTAAAGTTAGTATACTGATTTTATAACCATAAAAAATCATTGAACATTTAATGAAGTCAACATACAAGTAATTTGTTATAAACATTAGTCTGTGTCGTGTTGAGACAGTTATCCATTTCAGATAATAGATGAAGGGTTGTAAAAGATCATGAATCAATTGAACTTAGACATTGACATTATTGGTTGCCGGTTTTAAGTGGTCTAGAGTTTAAGCATTCACATACGAAGCCGAAGATCCTGAGTTCGAATTCCTGATGTGGGATAATAGATGCGCACTGTTGAAGAGTTTCATACTGTGATGAGACAGCCGTCCAGTACTTAGATGTTTCTTAATGGTAGTCTGACTTAGATCAACTCATTGTAAATACCAATATACATATTCAAGTTGTGATTAATTTATCTCTTGTAATTTCGATTAACTAATCATTATTTAAAATCCCATAGGCGACATAGATCACTCCATTCATCTAGTTTCTTTTCACATAATGATGGGGTTGTTTTTTTCTTTTCCTTCTCCTCCTTCTTCGTTGTAATGATGACGATTATGATTATTCCCTTAATAATCATTCACACATATGTCGTTGCTGGTGTTGTTGTTGTTTTTCTTTTTTTTAAAAAATAGTTGCTATTGCATAATTATGTTGTCAAATCTTCTTCTTCTTGTTGTTGTTCTCCTTTTTAGTTATTCGCTGTTGTCGGATCTAAATTGATTATCGGATTAATAAACTCTTCTTCTTTTTTTCAAATCGTTGTTCCCAATTCAATTTACCTGTATATAGATATGAGTGAATGATGTATGCTTATATTACTGATAGGCACAAGATATGCTTTAGGGCAATCTTATACATGGTATAAGTTCAACTGGATTAGAAATGAAAATGTAACTTAGTACCAATGTGTTTATGCTCAGGTATGTAATATACAATGATAAATAATGAAAGTGAAAACAAGTTTTACATACATATAGTCCCCCCTCTCTCTCTCTCTCTGTCTCCCTCTCTCTCTCTCTCTCTCTTTGGTTGTTTGTCTTCTCCGAGAATAAAAAAAAATGTGAAAAAAATTATTCTCATTTGATTTTAACAACATAGAAACAGTAAATTATTAGACAAATTTGCTTCAGGCTTTAGGATCATTAAGGATTAGAAATTAAAGGGATTATTAGTATAACTAAATGTTCAAATGAATTAAGTGACTATTTACTTCTTTGGGGTTTTTTTTTGTCGAATAAATAGAAGTTAATGATGGATCTACTATGTAACAAATGACTTAACAGATCACTTCATCAATGAACAATTTTTGATTTAAACAGTTTCCTTATGTTGTCATTTTGCATGTTTCCAAATGATGTAGACCTCTAGAAGAGAATGAGAACATCCTAGAAATTATAAGTAAAGGTAGATGGATGGTGACTAGGAGTAGAATCCAAACATGTTCCAAATAGGACGAAACATACGTCCTGGATCTCATTGATAACCACCAATCATCTTTGTGATTTAAAGGAATATCGAGACAATTCACACAGGATATACATATACCAATAATAAACTGATCAACTTCAATTGTAAACATCAATAAGAAGATTGAAATAAACAATAGCTGAGACATTAACACCATTGAATGCCGGCTCAGTGATCCAGCAGGTTAAGCGTTCGCGCGCGAGACTGAAGGCCCTGGGTTCGAATCCCGCAAGCGGGATCGTGGATGCGCACTGCTGAGGAGTCCCACAATAATAGGACGAAACGACCGTCCAGTGATTCCAGGTTTTCAATGGTGGTCTAACATCAATCGGTTCATGATCTCAATCAAAAGCTGAGAAGTGTTTAATTGTCGGTAAATAGTTTAAATTACATCAGCACTTGTATAACTTATTAATCACTTTTATATGGTTACTATCAATGTAAAAGCAATAATACCAATTCTCTTACAATCAATTTCGATGATAGTGAATTCCTGTTATGCTCTTGTATTACCTTACTTAACAGACAATGTTATTCGAATAGTAACAATTCGCATATTATGATTACTATCTTGTTTGTATAAACATATACTCTTGATCATATGATAGACTCTAACTAAAGTGTTGATAGCTTTAATATGGCTTGATGAATTATTCTCTTTTCCATCTATATATGTAATGGAATCCCATTATTAACCTTTGCTTTGCTTAGCTGCTCCTTATTCGATTTGTCTATAAGTTTGCCTATGTATTTCCTCTCACACACACACACACACACACACATTTCCCCT